GAAGAGAAAATAGGAGTACGGATCGGGCGAAATGTTCTTGAACGAGAGAAAAGTGCGTCTCCTTCTACTCACCTCTTCACTTACGAACACTTCATTTTAAAAACTATAAGCTAGAAGAAGAAAAAGAAAATGTGAGGATGGAAAGAGCATCACGCCCTCTCTTTGTATTCCTCTTTTGTAAGAGCCTCTAGTAAAACTGGGTGGAAAAAAAGTTTTAGTCAATAAAGCAAACTCCGATATTAAGAAAATTTCTCCTTCTTATCCGTTCATCTTCACTCGTGTTCTTAATCTCTCTCTTATGCTTAGAGAAATCCATACAATAATAAACCATTATTAACGATTTTCAGGATGTGAATAAGAAATGTAAATTAACTATAATTGTTCGTTAATTTTAAGATTCAGTTAGTGTTGCGAATAATTATTCAACTGCTCGCAATATAAGTCAAATGCATTTTCTTGACATAAAATCAATATACTGTAGCGCAATGAAAGGACATAATATTTAATATCGTGTTATATCTATTGGAGAAAGTGTCTAGGAGGTAAAAACTCGTTGCTTTCAGTCAACAGCACGTAAGTCTGGACTGCATCTGAGCAGTTGCAACGCGTAATTCTTTTTATCTCGTTGTAAATCGCATGGCAAAAACAGGCGACGAAGCAACATGTGTCACATGGCCGACTTCATTCGAATTCGTTATTTTTTCATTCTTTTGATTAAAACGTACGACTCAAAATTTTCAATTTTTATTCGCATATTTTATTTATTTATTAATTTATTTATTTAAATAAAGTTGTTTTTGTACTTTAATTGAGATCAATCATTTCAGCAAACCAAACCATACATTTCGCAAACGTGGAATTAAAGTTAGTCTAGTATACGTTTTTAATAAAATATCATAATTTAATGCATTCTACTAAATACAAATCATTTTGTTATATCAGCTTATTTATCAAAGTTATAAATTTTAATTTATCAGAAATTTCATCCGAATATAAAAAAATGTATTATTCAAGAGTACATTTGGCATTATTTTCTATAACTTTGAAATAAACACAATAAACACAACGCAATAAGTAATAAATAGAATATACGTATAATTGTAATGAGATTACGAATACAAATAATATATAAAAGATTTATAGTTGGAAAAATATTGATTTCTTTAAATCTAATATGTAAGTTTTCCCGTAATAAATACTTATCTGTTATATTCTTATATATATATGTATATCATAGTAAACCCCTCAAATATTTTCAATTCGTTTACGTTTTCTCTTCGCTTTATTCTTTCTACATGCTATCTGCCACGGTTTTATCTGTAAAGCTCAACGACTTTTATTGACTATTTATATTCTTACTTGTAAATTATCATCTCTCTTTTTCATTTTCTCCTTCATTCTTCTTGTTCGATACTAAAACTGCTCTTATATTTTCTCCGATCCTCGACTTCTCCTACCTTCATCTTACCCGTTTTCTCCTTACCTATTTGTGTGCAATCCAACCCTTCCACCTCAATCGTATCTTAAATTCAGCCAAACTTTTCTTTTTTGCTTATCTAACTAACGCGAATATGCGAAGAAAATAAAAAACAGCATTTGTCGCAAACCGGTCGAGCTTCAATGTCCGTACAATAAAATACATATTAATTACTGTAGTATAACATGTACATACGAGTAATTTTATGAGTGGATAAATTATTTCTTCTCATTAAAATTATTTTGATATGTCATTTGTATGCCTAACAATGTTCAGCAGAATTTAATAGCAGAATGGATGTTCAAAATTATTATAACGTAAATGTATTGCCGTGGAAAATTTATTATATTAGTTATAATAAAAGCCAATTAATAATGTTTTTCATCATTTGAATTTGTACATAGTTTATCGTAATATATGTTTGTAATAATTTGTATTTAATGTATTTTATTTGAGTATCAATTAGATCACCGTAAAAATTAATTAAATTAAAATACATGCAATATCGTATTGCAATATACATAAAATGTTAAAGAAAAGTTAGGAAAAATGAAACTTTTTTGATATTATAATATTTATAAAAGCTTAAACAATAGAAATAATTCAAATACACGAGTCAATGTTTTTATTTTTATAAAACATGATATGTTTTTTTTATTATATTTATATGAACTCCTAAGTTCATATAATAATAAAAAATATGTTAAAAAGTAAGGTAAGGTAGTTCGGGATATTGGTATTAAATACTCCTAAGTATTTAATACCAATATCCCGAACTACCTTACCTTACTTTTTAACATATTTTTTATATAACTTTTGTTTGCATTTGGAAAATAAAGGGAAATAAAACTTGAAGAACCAGACACGGGAAAGCAAAATCAACAAACTACCTCAACTAGCATATGTTATTATCTACTTTTGCATGCAAAGTATTATTTTGGTTTTTTTTTGTCTAATGTGAAAAAATCATGTAATAATTAAGTAATGAATTTTTTTAACATTTCATATCTAACATGTTAAAAATTTATTAAACATATTAAACGTCATCAAATTTATAAAATAAATTATTTTATTTTAAAATAAATTAGGTAAAAAGAGAAGTGTATTATTATACCAACGGCATTGCTTATGTAATATCAATCTTTATTAAAAATGGTATAATTTAATTTTTCAATAATTCATTGCAGCACTTATTCATATGTATTACCAAGTAAGAAATAAATTTTTATTATTAGTATTATTATATAAATTATATATATATATATATATATATATATATATATATATATATATATATATAGATTAGTATTATTATAATACAAAGTTCTTTGCACTAGTATTATATATATATATATATATATATTATATGATGTAATGAAAGTTGATAATGGACATGAGTGGATAATTCCAGTACTTGTTAAAATAAATCAATAAGAAGATTAATACTAAACTCTAGTTAACTAAACGAAACTAAACTAGCTAACGAAACGGTTCTTGTACAAAAATTCATACTAAAACGCCACAGTTATTATTGTATATCATTTTTTTTACCACATTGTTGAATTTAAAATGGTACAATGTGTACTGTGTAAAAAATTGAGTGGAGACACGTAAATATAGGAATATGGCTTAAAAACACTCATTCGCAATTTTAATTTACTTCTATGTCTATCCGTGTGTGGCCCGGTTTTTTTTTCCGCTTTATAAGCGAATCTAGTTATAACAGTTTTTCGAGTAGCCTACGTCCGCGAGTACGAAATTTGTCTTCCGGCATCAATGGATACCTTCAGAAATTTAGAAGATGAGTTTGTTATCGAAATGAACAATGCGAATGTCTGAGTACATCTTATGGTTTTCGACAGACGTTGGCTAAATTTTAGAAATAACTACTGGTAATAAATTATTATTCATTATAAATCTATATAACTTATAAAAAATAGTTTGTAAGAAGGGAATGTTTTTATTTAAGAGTTAAAATATTGAAACACGAATACAAATAAACTTTCATGAATAATTTGCATGCAATGAATGTGACATGATATTTTTATTTTTATTTTTATATAAAAAAATTAATTTTATTATCGCTTGTAGTTGAAGTAATGTAGCATTTCTATGTTTTTTTTTGTAGACAGAGCATTTATAATTTAGTCTATTAGGTTTTCGAATAAAATAACTTCTTTAAATCTTATATAATCAACTTACAACGAAATATAATATAAATTGTAAGAATTATATAGAAAATTGAAATTAATAAAAGTATATAACGTAATGGCTCTTTCATAAAGTTCTGAAATAGATTTAATTTTCAATGAATTGTATGCATCACTTGTATAGAAACGATTGACAATTCGCTGATAATTATACTTGACCAATTCTTTATAGTTTCATTGCAAACTAAAAAAAAGGAATATTCGACATTGGTTATTCCTAATTTCACGTCATTTTATGATAAGTTAATAATTTCTATAAATACATTGGATATTTTATTGTAAAGTAATAAATGTATTCGTTTTAATACACAATGTTCAGTGTTTATGTTTATTTTTCACTGTGCAAAAGACAATTGAAAATGGCATCGTATATAACATTTAAGTATGTAAATATATCTCAATTAAAAATCCTAAAACAAACACTAATAATAATTTTTAAAACAATTAATATTTTATTCGATATATATATATATATATATATATATAAAGGTTCAATCTAAAGAAATAAAATGGAAAAACTATAAATATTGAAAATTTGTATAAAGTATAAGTGTATATGTATAAGTATAGTATAAGTATAAGCGAAGTATAACCATTTTATAATTATTCAATATATAGAGTAAATAATTGTAAATTTATCGAATAAACAATCTTTTAAAATTCATACAAACGGATCGTCACAGAATATACTGTAAAATTGTTAAAGATTCATTAAAACTGATTATTGGATTATTATTGAAATATTATCGGAGTAATGTAATTAAAACTTCAAATTTAATTTAGCATTTCGAATTACTTTCTCATAATAAAACAATTAATTGAATATCCAACTTTTAGAGAGGTCTGAAAGTAATTGAGAACAGACTTAAATATTTCCTCCGTTGGTTAGTTTTAAGTCAAAAGGTGGCGCTGCCGAACATTTTAAATCCATATTCCCTCGTTCTAGACGCATGCGCGCCCTTCAATCCCCATTCCGCGACACATATCGTCGACTCGGTTGGAAGTGAGGAAATACGCGGAACACGAGAACCAGCTTAAGCGAAGGCATCAGAGAGTGGAGACACAGACGTCGTCGAAAGGTGCGCGGCTTCTACACTGCTTTCTCCTAACAAGTAATACATTCATTTGTCTCTTTCTCTCCCTCTCTCTCTCTCTCTCTCTCTCTATATATATATATATATATATATATATATATATATAAATTTATATATATATATATATATCTATTTCTATCTATCTATCTCATCCTCGCACTCTTCCTCATTCACTCTCTCTCTCTCTCTCTCTCTCTCTCTCTCTCTCACTCTCTCTCTCTCTCACTCTCTCTCAATCTCCATCTCTCTTCACGCACGCATACACAGTAGTAGGAGCAATAGTGCCGTGCGAGTGCAAAGTCGGATATTTAGGGGAGTGCGATTAAGTGCCGACGCTTGGCTCGTATCACGCCTAGCTTCCGGAGCCGAGCTAATCCAGATGTGAGGATACATCACGTTGTTATCCATAATTCGCCGACAGACGTCGTCGGGGAGAGAGTTGGGAAGTAACGAATCGTCGGCCCCCGAGTCGCAGTACAAGGCACACAGACGGCCGACACGTCGTCGCGCCCCAGTAAACGAAAGTTGCGAGGAACGAGAGGGCGGCCGGATAAGTTCGGTAAGTGCGGTGGGCTGCCGCCGCCACCATGGCCGCACAGAGTAGTAGCAGCAGCACCAGCAGCAACAGCAACAACAACAGTAACAGCAACAGCAACAGCAACAGTAACAGCAGCGAAAGCAGCAGCAACAGCAGCAGCAGAAACAACAACAGCAACAGCAGAGAGTCTCTCCACAACGAGGAACAACAGCAGCAGCAACGAGGCAAGACGGATGATTTTGAGGTTAGGGCCGACTCCGAGCCAACGACCGATAAAGGCGGCAACTTTTACGAGAAGCTGCGCCGAGGCTGGTTGCGAACCACCGCACCTAAGGATGTCGTCGTCGATGACTCAGAAATGGTCGTGGAACAAACGGGATCGGCGCTTAATATACGAATACCTTATTCATCCGACGGCATGACCTGGACATGGACTTTTGAAGTCGCGACTCATGGTAAGACACAACCGGAATTACGCTATTCGTGAGATTGTTATTACGTAGATGTGATTACTTAGAAATTGATAAATCCGTGATATTTTTTTATATTTAACATGGAATTTGTGCATAAAAGTGACGTTTGTGTACATACAACTGACGGTATTATTGTTATTGTTTACACGAGCATAGGGTCTATTGATACACTAGCGCCAACGGTTGTTAGGCACTTTCAATTTGAAATTTATCTATAATTATTAACTGGTAGATTTAAAATTTTCAAACGTTAGAGAGTGTTAATTTTTTCTTTCGCAAACTGCCATTTTGCCTTTGTTATAGGAGTAATATAACCAATTATGTAAACACGTGTTCATGAGCATGTGTTAAATATAGAATAGTACTAAAATAATAAGGAGCACGGATTTTGCCGTTTAAGAAATAATGTATAAACTAATCTTAAACATTTTATAAGTTTTTCGGACATGCATGTGCATTTATTTATAATGTTAATTTTTCGATTAAGAACATTTTTTTTTTTTTATTAATAGGTGATTTTAATCGAATGTTTATATATTACAATAATAGATTCAAATTAAATTAAAATTGTTAATTGATTACGCATGTTATTGTACAATGTTAAATCAATGCTTAAGCATACCAATTAAGATAATATTATGAAATATTAATATTGACAATTTCAAAATATAATGATAATAATGTTATACATGAAAACTCTCAATTATAAATATTATTTAGATTAGCAAGATATATTATAGCTGAGTAGTATTGATTTATGTATTATTACAATATATATTTCAATGACTGAAATATAAATTTTGAAATATATAGTTTCAGCGGTAGTTTTGCAATTCAACCATTCTCTGTAATAATAAGAAATATTTATTTCCTTTTCAGATACAAAGTACCTCAAAAACATAAGCCTTGTATTAGATAGCCACCAAGAGAATTTTAGAATTAAGTCGATTATTAATGACATGGTTTGCTGCAAAAACCTGTCTATTCAAGAATTTGTGATAAATAAGTCTATAGATGATATATCCAACCCTTCGGTTTATATGGTGGAGATTGAGTTTAGAGCAGCTAACACGGGTACTTATTGTCAGGATGTAATCTTTAGTTTCAACGATGGACCAGCAGTGCGTCGTCAGCTCTGCGTTGATTGTGTGTTGATAGAGGACCTTAATCGTCTAGAGGCAGCACGCGAATATCTGCTATATCTTACCCAGCAGAGCTCTCACGGGCAGAAAACACAGATAGTACCGTTTAAATCACCTTTTGTACCAGAACGAGAGGCCCGGGAGGATAAGCTATGTCAGTTCTATCCTAAACCTGAACTTAATACCTTCTTCTTAACCCACACTACGTTAAAAGAAACTGGCCTCGATCCAAAGAACTACAGGAGGAGGCTACATGAATTGGTCAGTATCGAGGAAATGGCTAGATGCGAACAAATTGCACGATATAACGAAGTCACTGAGCTCAGACTATCGAACAACTACATACTTGCATCGGATACAGATGGCTCTACAGTTGCTAAGTACGCAGCACCTGGAGAATTATTTGCTCAGGTAAATTAAATAAACATAATATATTTACCATATTGACATAGAATCGCTGTATTTCTAATAGGTAAGACTTTAAGTGCTAAGGTATACGATTAATAAATTTGAATATAAATTTATGCAATAAATTTACAGTCTATACTTCTTGCTTTCATTAAAAGTAATAATATTAATAATAAAGCCATAGTAATAATTATAGCAAATTAGTCAGACTTAAAATAATTAAGCTATTAGTAGAGCACATTATTAATCGGTAGGATTTTTAATTCTACAATTATAATAATAAATCCTATGCAGTGTATAAAAGTAAGCAATGTGTATGAAATTATTGCATTCAATGAGCTTTTGTAAGAGTAATTCTTTCATATACTGCACCACAGTATATTTATAACTAAGCTACGGCTTAAATAAAAATTGACAATCAAAATAATAATAAGATGAAGATATATTAGTAGATCGCTATCTTATTAAGAAATACTGCAACGATGCAGAATATTATCGAATTTAAATAATAGAAAATCCCGGTTAAATTACACCAGGACTCAGAAATTGTCTATTTAAGATGTTTATAACGATGCCTGATGATAATAATAATAATGATAATGCGCGATTGTCAAAAATATTTAAACGTAGATATGATATAATGTTAGAAATAGAATTAGTAGATGCTAGTGTTGCTCGCGTAAAAGGCGCTAGATCAGGACAAAAGAAAAGAACGAAAGCATAATGTCTTCTTAGTTACCGCTGGGTCGCGAGGTCTCGGAGGACACGAAAAGTGGCCGGTTATTGCTACGCAGCTGCAACAGTCTACTCGTTCAGAAGATAAACTTTGACGAGGGCCAAGGCAGTCGGCCCACCCTAAGCGACAAGATATTCGAGGCCCACATCGAGGACAAGTGTAACCACACGATTTACACGCGGCTGTCGAAGGAGTGCGTGGAGCATCTCGGGCTAGTGATCGACACCAACGTCAAGATGCACGTGCAGTTCGTGATGAATCGCACGCCCTTCTGCGAGTGGCGGCGAGCCATCGACGCGCTGCCGGATACGAGGCTCATATTCCCCGAATCGCGTATCAATAGGCAGGTGAACTTTGATTGGATGCCCAAGTGGAAACACAACTTTAAAAACTTTCGACTTAACGAGCGGCAGAAGGTGCCGGTTGCCCTTATGATGGCGCCCGACACCGAAATCCTACCGCCAATTCTCATACTCGGGCCATTCGGCACTGGCAAGACCTCGACGATCGCCCAGGCTCTTAGGATTCTTTTGGTTAACGATAGGACGAGCAGAGTTATACTCTGTACACACAGCAACAGTGCCGCAGATTTGTACGTGAAGGACTTCTTCGATGTCTGGTATAAGGAAACGAACGATCCTAGACTAAAGCCTTTAAGGATCTACTACAAAGGGCGCGTGAGAAATACGGTGAGGAGACCTTATTATGTTGCTTATCATTTTCTTCATACTCGATGAGACCTTTTGTGCCCGTACTTAACAGTCGATATTATTATTATTATTATTATTGTAATTGTAATTGTAATAATTATTTTATTTTATTTTATTTTTAATTTTTTTTTTATGTCATAAATATCTATGTAGCGTTAAAGTAGCTATTTTGTCCATAAAAACACTTTTAGCTAAGATTTTTGAAACGGGACGGATTGCCTAAACGAAGATCACTGAACGAGTCTGATACTATATAAAATTTTCCTTGGCTATGACCGTTCATAGGTTATTAATATAAAGTCGATCGACATCATTGTGTGTGAAATTAATCGAGGGCGATAGTTATTTTGCACGGGAAAAGTGTTTTCGTCGAGTAAATGTCGCAAGACGAAGAAAAAGAAAGGAATGCTCTGCTCTTTTTGAAAAGGTTCACGCAACGGTGCGCGAGTACTGCCCATCGGATGAAAATGGACGCTTCCGGGATCCCACGAGCGACGACATCGCCAACTGCGGTCTAGTTATTTCGACTCTCGCGACTTCTAGTTACCTGACCGCCCTGGACCTACAGCCTAGCCACATAATTGTGGACGAGGCGGCCCAGGCGCTCGAGTGCGAGGTTCTCGCTTGTCTAGCCCTGGCCACGGAACGGACGAGGATAATTCTTGCTGGAGACCAAATGCAGCTCGCCCCCGAGGTCTACAGTGATCTGGCGAGAGAGCGGGGCCTCGGTATGAGTCTCCTCGAGAGGATCCATCTAACGTATGAGCCAGGACATCCCTGCAGGATACAACTCTGCAAGAACTACAGGGCACACGCGGATATTGTAAAGTTGACCTCGGACCTGTTTTACGGAGGGGAGATCGAAGCGGGTGCAACATTGCCTAGACACCCGACTTACAGTCCATTGACGTTCTACGCCTGCCAAGGCATCGTCATGCAGGTAAAAATCATTGATTGCAATTGTATGGTCAACGCATATATGTTACGGTAGAAGGTAGTAGAGGTATATGATGCACGTTACGAACGTTTTTATATAAAGACTTGTCGTACACATGTCAGGCTACGAATCCTCCCGTAGCTCCGTGTCTTACCAGTTAGGCAATTGCCGCTCCCTTATAAAAGCTCTACAACGCCCTATGAACCTAATGGGCGGACAAATAAACAAAAACAAACTGAGAAACAAGCCGAACGCGTAAACAGCGACGAAATACCTGCGCAGGGCTCCAACTCAACTGGTTATTACAACAACATGGAGGCATACGAGATCGCGGAGCGCGTTGCTGAACTACGGAGAAGTTGGCCGACGGAGCAGTGGGGACCTTATGGGGAGGGCTCGATCGGCGTTCTCGCCCACTACGCGGAGCAGGTGCTACGCATTCGTAGCGAGCTGCGCAACCGGAGGCTCTTTAACGTCTCGGTGGAGCGCGTCCTCAACGTCCAAGGAAAGCAGTTCACGGCGATCTTTATTAGCGTGGTGCGCACACGCCACTGCAGTCGTCACTCGGCCGAGAGGCAGCTCAGCGACTACGGCTTCCTCACGAATCCCAGGCTACTCAATACGGCGGTTACGCGAGCCAAGAGCCTCGTCGCCGTCGTCGGAGATCCGGTCGCTCTTCTATCTATAGGTAAGTGACACTGGCTCTTTCTTCCCCATACAAACTTCCCTCCGATGTGCCATTCGTTTTCCTTTATTTTCATTTTCCCACGCTACGTTCTTCTTTCTTTCTTTCTTTCTTTCTTTCTTTCTTTCTTTCTTTCTTTCTTTCTATCTATCATGCTCGATGAGCCTTCCTCCCTCCCTCCCTCCTCTCTAACGACTCGCAAAAGCATATAAAGTGTCGTTGGAGTAGTAACGCATGTTGGCGCGTGTACATAAACAGGTTCGTGTAGCGAGCACTGGCGCCGCTATCTACGCTCAGCCAGTGTCCACGGGATCGACGCTCAGGAATTGGACTTTCATCTCAACCAAGTACAAGACATGCCGACGACGCCGGCGCTCAATCCCCTCGCTAAGGAGTTCGTACCGAGGAATGGAACTCAGACGGACAATCCATACTGGATCGAATACGTCCCTATGCCTATCAATTATCCAGTTATACACTGCACCGTGGAAACCGGCGGCCTGTTGTGAGGCTGTGACTGGGAAAACAAGGGATTCTGATTATTGACGACTACGAGGGCGCTTTATACTTAGTTATTAAGGGCAATCAAGGATTTAAACAAAAAAAAAAAATAAATAAATAACAAAACAAATTAAAAAAAAAACAAAAACAAAAGACAAAACGAAACAAAAAAATTGTAATAAATAAAGTATAATTTATAGTACCAGACAAATAAGAGAATTATGTCGCTTTTACACTTGTGTTCCCTAGAATTTTCGAATTTACTTTTATTACTATTTGTTATCTTATGGACTTTCCTCTGTGACTGTTTTGCTTTTATTCTTAAAACAAATTCTCCCCCCCCCCTTCATACACACGAAAATATGTAACATTTAGAAACGTCCATTCCTATGTATTATAACTGTAATCATTGTAATGTAATTGACAAAGAGATTCGTCGAATAAATATAGAGTGTAAGTTGTTCTAAAAAGTGCTGCTTATATATGTATACCTTACCCCCCCTTTTTTTTTTTTTGAACAATTTTTAAATAATGAAGAAGAAAAAAAAGATAACTGATTCGTTGCTTTTGTTCGAAGAATTTACTACTTGTAAATGTAGAATGATAAAAATAGTAATTATGCGCGCCATTATATTATTTATCTAATATTGTTTTACACTTCTATCGCAATACTATTAAGGGATATAGAGCAAATTCTTCACCATTACTCCTTATGGGATTTTGTTTCTTTTATTTCTTTTTTTTTTCATCGCATTTTTGTTCGCAAAAATTGATGTCAAAGTTAATTGAAATACATTTTGAATTTCAAATTTACGGTATTATACGCATAATAATATAGACATTAATCTGTTATTACAAACATTGGAGGAGAAGTTTCATTAGACGCTTGCATTTTAAAACCAGGTGATTTAAAATTGCCTAAGCCACGATGAAAATAAACGTCTTCCGAGATTGCTGCGCATCTAACAAGTTATGAATGTATGGTAATACTTACTAAAATAGATTACTTAAGAGAGTAACCGATCAATTATATAATAATAATTATTATTATTATGTCATTTATTAATCTATTGACCAATGTTTTCGTATTACGGAAATCTTGAGGCTTATTAAGTATGTTTAAAAATTCATGTTAAATTCCACTTAATTTTCATGCGCGTAGTTTTTTTTTTTTAATAAAGTCGAGAAAGTTATGAAAATTGATATTGCCAAATAACCATTCAAATAAATATTTGTTTAAAAATATTACTCTAAACAAATTTTAAAATCAATTTATATAAATGTGCCAGTATTCGTGATATCCCTGTGCAATATAATAGTAATTAAAATTTAAAAACAATATCAGTTATTAACGATGAAACTTGTTAAAAGCGTTTCACGAATTTCACTTCAACTTCGATTGTTCCAACCATTAAATGTTATAATTTACGTAATTTATAAAAATTTATACAGTTTCATATTTTATATTGCTTTCCAAGTAATTAATTATTTTTTAACTTATACGTATCGAGTCTGAAATTTATAATTTTTTTTTAAGTATTATAACGATGGACTCTTAGTCAATAAAGTATTTTTTTACAATCTACTTTTAATCTTTAAAGAGTAGTTGTAAGCAGAAAAAATTACGAGAGAGAGAGAGAGAGAGAGAGACTCGGTAAATATAAGCCATTTTGAAAATCGGAGCAAGTTTTTGAAGCAAAATAACTGCTCAAAAAGTCATATGAAATCGAAGCAACGCGATGAGCCGTATTGACTATTAATTTGCCAATTCGTCACGTGCTATCCTACTCTATATGCTATTAAGCGCGTACGTGCGTTTTAGAGGCTGAGAATAATCGTCGGACGAGTAGAGTTCGCCGTTAAAAAGCTCCGACGACAAATCCGCTTAAAAGTGAGTCGAACGGAAGATGCACTTGCCGTCGGTCAGCTCGTTGCATGGAATTTAAAGCGATGCGCGTTTTACATGTGCACATGGAGCCGTTAAGGCGCGTGTCGGAAATTATCGGGAGTCGGTTAACGGGGCTGTCACGGAAGAGGCGAACATTGCCTCGTCGAGCGCGCTCGTGTTCGACATCCGGAACGAATTTTCACCAACCCTCCTTCCTTCTCCATCCTATAGCTACGGCGGCATCTACTATACATCTATTTCTTATTTGCCTTGCTTTTCCGAGTTTCTTATCATGTCCTTTTCACGCCACGGTCACCTCGACCGCCCCCTCGGCTGTTGGCTCGTTTTTTTTTCTTTTAAATATCAAGATGGTGGTCATTGTGATTTTTCGCATGACTACACGGGATGTTCGAGCCGATATTTCAATTACAATGTGTTGACTACACTGAAAAACTCTGTGCTCCGTGCTGTTAAGACGAGTATTTCAAATCCACTCTCATTGCGTAAGGCATATTTATATTAAAAATGCATTTAATATTGCCTTTTAATATTTTTAGTACAGTTGGTACTTTTACGTTTCAATCATCGAATCATTATGATACGGCTAATTTAAAGAATCGACAATATAAGCAAAAGATTTATCAATCGTGTATATCAGCTCGTATCTTATAAGCATATGCGTGAAAAGGTATAGAAGTATTTAATTGTTTAAGGTCGGTAAATTTACGAAATCATTTTCTGTAGCATTCGAGGGACAATATTCGCAAGTGAAAATAATATTAGCAAATATCTCTTCAAATATTTGTTCCTAATACACCGAAACACACGCACCGAAACATATATATAAATATGTACATATTTGTTGCACCTTTGCTTTTAATACAAAGTCCCCTTTATACAATTCATCATTGAATTAAATTCAACAATTAGTCAATGCATTATTTTAACTTGATAAAATACGGAAAATTATAAATTCGTGGTTAAAAGAAACTTTCATATAAAAGTATGCAAATCAAAATATGAATTTTATCTTATATACTATTTTTAAATTACTCATATGTTGTATTAATTTTTTTAAGGAAATTTTTAATGATTAAAGAATGCTTTTGTATTGGAGAAGTCAGTGATAAATATTATCAATCTTAGTTTCAAGTTAAGTTTGTATGACTAATTTCATGCTTCGAAAAGGCATATTTTTGACACTATGATGATATCTTTACTTTTAAAAGCTATCATTTACTAAAAAATCGTTGACAGACGGGAAAAAGAGAGCAATTTGGAAACTACAAATCCAAATAAAAGCCTAGCCTCTAACGAACGAAAAATAAAAATCATAAATAATCAATCACCACCAATCTACAATTATCAATTAATTTCAATTAACACAATCAATTTTATCAATTAAAGCACTCAAGCTACGAAGAAATTATGCTTTTTAAGATTTTTTATAAAAATAAAAAAAAAAGTATTGCTAAAGAGTTATATGGAATTTGTCATATCTTGAGCTAAGCAACAAATTTATTTATATAGCGTTTTTATTAAAAAAAAAAAGAAAGAAAACCTACTACTTATGTTTGATAGTGCCCAACCAGTTTATAAATAAGCTAAAGAATCAGAGATTTTGTTTAATACTATTTTTGATATTCATTTATGTAAAAATCATTGAATTATTTTTAGGATAAGAGAATATGAGGCTGATAGAGTGAAAATACTTTTTGATACAATAAATATAAAAATAATAATTAACATTTAAGTAAATAGATGAGAATATGATAATTGAAGTTATGTTACTAGCTAAATTTTAAAAAAAATTATTTTCAGAACAGCGCATTAAATGCTTCAGAAATATTAATATGGTTGTAGAGACAAGAAAAAATGTTCCCGATATATTTGTTTAATATTAAATCATCTTTCTTCTTAGACTTATTTAATACTAATGAAAATAATTTAATTTTAAAAACTTAGAACTGTATTATATTCATAAAAATAATGGGCAAATTAAATATTAAAAGGATATACGTATTTTCAAAATATGCACGTTACCCAATAGTTCACAATACTCCTTAATTACGCATCATCCAATATTAGGACTTTCGAAGAAAAATTTAAACGTGTATTTAAATCATTATTATATGTAAAATGTGTATAGTAGGAAGAAAATTTCGATTCCGACGATATATAATTTTACTCAAGAATTAGTCGGAAATACGCAAATTAATATTGTAATGGAGATTTTAAAGCGAATAGCCGTTAAAGAGCTATAACAAAGTCATTTTAAAAATACTTGAAATCATTAAGCACTTGGCTATACCGCTCTTTTGTATGATCTGGTAAAAAATTTTTCAACAAAATGTCGCGGTTAAAATTCTCATCCAAGTAACGTTCTGAAATTCTCAACGACGCTCGAATACTTTCGTAGCTTCTGATAAGCCTGCATCGTTTTTTCTTCCTCCGCTTCCTCCCTACTTCCTTGCCCGATTTCCTTGTTTCTGTTACATTCAACACAGGCGCACTTTTGCCTTTTCTCTGGATTCCGCCTTTTCTTCTTTTCGTCCGTTTTTTATTTCGTTCGCTGGATGGTTTCCGTGTCCTGGGTTACGGAGTTTGAATTACGCGCTCGGACGCACACTTCGCGAGTTTCGCGTTTGCGATGCGTCTGGCAATGAATCGCACGCGAGCCGATTGTTTCGATTTTCCAATTTATTTTTCGCATCTTCGTTTCGACTTGTTACGGAGGATTTCCTCCTCACTTACTTTCCTGAAATTCCAGAACGTGATCTGGGCCATTGATGAATTTTCTCTATTTGATACAATTTTTGCTGATGTAATTTTTAAATTTTCTGCCCTTCATTCATCATGTAATGTATATTACTTAAGAAAATTATGTTAATTTTAGGTATTTATATATTAATTCGTTCGTATTCATCGTATTTGTATTACGATAGGGAATATTGATTTGCAAATGATTCATTCTTAACTACTCGATCTCGTTGTCACGAAAATAAACAATGATAGATTTATATAAAAAATAGTGCATTAATTGGTATTAGCAACAATTGTCATTATTATTTTGCCAATCGTTGCACTTGTGTTTCCTTAATCCGATGCTTCTCATTGTAATTTATATTTAATATTATATATATATATATATATATATATTATATTATATAATATAATATACTGAATGTAAAAGAATGATGATTGTTTGA